AGGTTGTGGAGAAAAGGGAACCCTAGTACACTGTTGGTGGGAATGCAGACTGGTGCAGCCACTGCGGAAAACAGTTTGGAATTTCCTCAAAAATCTAAAAATGGAACTGCCTTTTGACCCAGCAATTCCACTGCTGGGGTTATACCCTAAGAATCCCAAAATGCCAATTCAAAAGAACCTATGCACCCCAATGTTCATAGCAGCACAATTGACAATAGCCAAGTGCTAGAAGTAACCTAAATGCCCATCAGTAGATGAGTGGATCAAAAAATTATGGTACATTTACACAATGGAATACTATGCAACAGAAAGGAAGAAAGAGCTACTACCCTTCATGATAGCATTAATGGAACTGGAGAGCAGTATGCTAAGTGAAATAAGTCAGGGAGTGAAAGACAAATACCATGTGATCTCACCTATAAGTGAAAGTTAATCAACAAAGAAAAAAGATTCCTTATCTTTAATCTTGGGTAATATAATTATGATGTGCCTTGGTGTGTGCTTCCTTGGATCCAACTTCTTTGGGACTCGCAGAGCTTCCTGGTTCTCCCAGAAGTCTATTTCCTTCACCAGATTGGGGAAGTTTTCCTTCACTATTTTTTCAAATCAGTTTTCAATTTCTTGCTCTTCCTCTACTTCTGGCACCTCTATGATTCAGATGTTGGAACATTTAAAGTTGTCCCAGAGGATCCTAAGCTTCTCCAAAATTTTTTTGAATTCTTGTTATTTCATTCTGTTCTGGTTGAATGTTTATCTCTTCCTTCTGCTCCCAATCGTTAATTTGAGTCCCAGTTTCCTTCCCTTTACTGTTGGTTCCCTGTATGTTTTCCTTTATTTCACTTTGCATATCCTTCACTTTTTCCTTCATTTTGCGACCTTACTCAACCAATTCTGTGAGCATCCAGATTACCAGTGTTTTGAACTGTGCATCTGATAGGTTGGGTATCTCTTTGTGCCCTAATTCTATTTTTGGAGCTTTGGGCCATATTTCTGTCTCAGCATGCCTGTTATATCGGAAGGGGTGGGCCCTTAGGTATTTGCCAGGGTGGGGTAACCCAGATAACTGGATTGTGATGTTGTATGTTGGGGATGGTCAGAGAGGGAACAGTGCTGCTTGCTCGGCTCTCAGCTGGCTTTCAGTCACTTCCCCAGCCACCCACAAGCAAATTGGGCCCTTCTTGTGCTGATTTCTGGGTGTGTGGATTTTTGTACCTTCTAGGACCCTGTGGGTCTCTCCAACGAACTCTCCTGTGAGGCTGGGAGTTTCTCCCACTGCCACAACCCTCACTGGTTTTTACAGCCATAGGTTTTGAGGCTTTCTTTTCCCAGACTGGAACCCTGGATTGCACGGTCTGTCTTGCTCCCCAGCTGTTCCTCATGGTTTATCCTCATACAAATATGGGACTGCCTAGATGCCAGCTGCCGCCTTGCCCACCTCAGCCTCTAGCCGCCACCTTGCTGTGTGTCTTCTCTGCCCAGGCTGCCCATCTCTGCCCATTATTCCAGTTTGGATGAATGTTTCTTTTTTATCTCCTTGGTTGTGAGACTTCTATACAGTTTGATTTCCTGGCAGTCTGGTTGTTTTTTGTTTTTAAATTTCTTGTTGTTCTTCTTTTGGTTGTGTGAGGAGGAAAAGGTATCTACCTATCCTATGCCTCCATCTTGGCCAGTAGTCCTCACCTCCATGGTTTCTGATGAGCAATTCTCTGTTACTTTGTTCTTTTTCCCTTGTAGGTAAGGTGTCATTTCTGTCTTGCTGAATTTAAGATTGTTTTCTGAATTTAGTTTTCTGAAGTTTGATTATATTGTGTCTTGGTGTAGAGTTCTTTGATTTATTCTTTTGGGGTTTGCTCAGCTTCTTGACTCTCTAGATTGATATCATTTGTCAAATTTGAGAAATTTTCAGCCATAATGTCTTCAAATATTTTTTCAGCCCCATACTCCTTCTCCTCTCCTTCTGGGACTCTGATGACATGAATGCCAGATCTTTTTTTATAGTCTCACAGGTCCCTGAGACTCTGCTCATTTTTTCCCATTTTACTTTTTGTTATTCAAATTGGATCATTTCTATTTTTCTATTGTCAAAATCTCTGATTTTTCCCTTTGACCTCTTTATTCTGCTATTGAGCTATTTAGCTCATCCAGTGAGTTTTTAAATTTTGGTTATTATATTTTTTCAGACCTAAAATTTCCATGCAGTTCTTTTTTATATCTACTATTTATTTGCTGAGACATTCTATTTTTGCATGATGATGACTACTTTAAGAATCTTGTCAGATAATTCTAACATCTGTGCCATCTCGGTGTTGGTGTCCATTGTCTCTTCTCATTCAAATTGGGGTTTTCCTGCATCTTCATATGATGCCTGATTTTTAATTATGTCCTGGATATTTTGGACATATGAGACTCTGGATATTATTTAAATATTTTGCTTAGCAGACCTCCGCTGACTCTGTTCCGTTACAAAAGGAGAATCTCCTTCTTACTGCCAGGTGGAGGCAGAAGTTCAGGTTCTCCACTTCGCCTCCTCTGACATCCCAGAGAGGAATGAGCACCTTGTTGATGCTGGATGGGGGTGGAATGTCAGGCTCTCCATGAAGTGAGGAGGCAGAAGGGCACCTCCTTACTGGGTGGGGGTGGGAATCCAAGATCCCCACTTAGCCTAAACTGACACTATGGAAGAGGGGCCTCATTACCTCCAGGAAAGGATGAAATTCTGGGCTCCCTACTTAGCCTTTGCTGATGGGAATTGTGGTGGGGGCCACAGTTTTTCCTGTGATGCTTGGCTGGAATAGGGCAAATATTATCTAAAATTTTCTCTTGTTCCCATGGACATGGACAACAGAGTGGCAATTGACTGTGGGAGGGGGAGATGGGTGGAGGGGGATAAAGGGGAAAAATTGAGACAACTGTGATAAAATAAACATGATTTTTAAATCTTACAAAAATAAAATAAAAAATAAATTTAAAAAAAGATAAAAAAATAAATAAAATTTTCTCTTGTTACATTGCCCCATTTCCTAGTCCTTTGGCTAGAGAGGGCAGGCTTTTGAGGGCAGTTTTTGTCTATGCCAATTGGCTTTCTGAGTTGCCAGTCTTCACAGCACCTAGTCCAGAATATATTGGAAAAAAAGAAACCACTACTGTGTTATTTGTTAGGTTCTGAGGTCCCCAGCCAGTTTGCCTTCTCTCCAACTGACAGAGTCCTCTTATCTTTGTTTTACATATAATGTCTAGGGCTTTTAGTTGTACTTAGCAAATTGGAGCAAGGGAGAATCATGTCTAAGTCCATTTTTGTTCAATTGGCAATTTTTAAGTTAAATTTTTTTTTACAGTTAACACATTCATTTTGCTTTCTTTCCCAACACCTCAGGTCTACTTAGCACAGAAAACTGGTCCTGATTAGTTTGTGTGTGGGGTATATCTTTAGAGATTATGCAAATAAAAACAAAAAAGAAAGTATCTTTAACATTTTCCCACAAAGAGTAGATACAGTTATATTAAACAGTGATTTTTAAAAATTACTGGTGGTATTTACCTTTTTATCATGAAATATTACACACATTTTAAATAATGCTGTTATAAATATTCTTGAACATTTGTCCTGTTGCATATGTACACATATTTTTTTAATTTTTAAAATTTCTTTATTGTTCGAATACATTTGTCTCCATTTTTCCACCACCACTTTCCCCTGCCCCACCTGCCCCCACTTCCTACCCTCAATCACTCCCCACTTTGGCTTTGTCCATGGCTCCTTTATACATGTCCCTTGACCTGACCCTTCCCCTTCTTTTCTCTGTTACCCCCCTCCCCCTCCCCTCTCATTACTGTTGGTTTGCTTTTCTTCAATGTTGCTGGTTATATTTTTCTTGCTTGTTTGTTTTGTTGATTAGGTTCCACTTACAGGTGAGATCATATGATATTTGTCTTTCATCCCCGGATTATTTCACTTAGCATAATGCTCTCCAGTTCCATACATGCTGTCGCGAAGGGTAGTAGCTCACTCTTCCTGCTTATGTACACATATTTAAATTGGGCATATTTCCATGAGTGGAATCACTGTTATGCCTGTCTTCAACATTACCAGATGAAGCCAAAATGCTTTCCAACATCACTGTACCAAATTTACATGGCCATTAGTAATGTGAGAGTTCTCATTGCACCATATTCTCTTCATTACTTCATATTTTTAGTCCTTTTCATTGAAGACATTTTGGGGTTGTGTAGTGGTATCTCACTGTGGTTCAAATGTGCATTCCCTGGGTAAGCAGCCCTTTATATGTGTCTGTTGATGCTTTGGATTTCCTCTTTTGTAAAATGCCCATTCAAATCCTTTGTCCACTTTTTTACTAGGTGGTCTCTTTTCTTCCTCTGGTTTGCGAGTTATTTATATCCTCTAAATAAGAGCCTTTGTCAGTAATATTTGTTGCAGGTATCTTCTATTCTGTGGCTTTCCTTTCCCCCCTCCTATAATGATATCTTTTAAATGAATAGAAGTTTTAAACTTTATTATAGACAGACATCAATCTTTTTCTTTATGGTTAATGTTTTCTGTATCCCACTTGAGATTATTTTCCTAAACCATGAAGATATTTGTCTCTATTATCTTTTAAAGGCTTTATTGCTTTGTTTTTCCCCCATGCATTTCTTCCAAATGACTTTTAGCACCCTTTGTGTCTTCCTGTGTTGGGTATCCAAGTCTTTAATTTGTTCTATATTTTATTCAACTCTACTGCCATTGTTTAGCACAGAATTGATCAGGAAATGTATTTCATTCCTACATTAACTAGAGAACTTAAAGAAAGCCCATTTTTATCCTCATTTTTGAAAAAATGGATGACTGAATGAATAAGTGAATGAATGTCAAGATACTTCAACAAGTTTTTTTTCTCACAAAATAAAATGCAAAACTAGATACTGAGTGAAAACCCTATATGATAGATACATTATAGTAAAAGTCATTAAAAACAACTTCCTATTTATCTTCCCACTATACCCCCATGCTGACCATGCTGTTTTGAACAGGACTGTGTTGTTACAGGTCTCAGTGTCATTTGAGGATGTGACTGTGAACTTCAGCATGGAGGAGTGGCAGCACTTGGACTCTGCTCAGAGGCGCCTATACCAGGATGTGACACTGGAGAACTATAGCCACCTGCTCTCAGTTGGTAAGCACAGCCACCCTATGTGTCCGCCAGGGGCCTCAGTGAGGCTATTTGCATTCTCAGCTGCTGAGTGTTCTGGGCCATTGCAAGTGTGTGGTGATATGTCCTTAATTTGCATGACACTCTTCAGTCCTTTTTTGTCTCTGTGATTATTACTTTATTCCCAGTGAAATGTGATTACTTTTCTGAAGAGCAAATGGAATTGTCATTGAAAGGTCCCTGAAACCCATTTAGCTGGACTCAGTCTTGTATCATGTCCTGTTAACAGGGTACCAAGTTCCCAAACCAGAGATCATCTTCAAGTTGGAGCAAGGAGAGGGACCATGGACATTGGAAGGGGAAACCCCACATCAGAGCTGTTCAGGTGAGTGAGTGTGACCCAGGCAGATGGGGGACATGGAAGTAATTCTCACTTTTGTAGGAGAGACAGGTACCCTTCAAAGGTTGCGAAGATAACTTGGAAGTTGTGAACTTTTGGACTTGCTTGGGGGATAGTTGACAAAAGTCCTCTAATGCCATCTAATACCCAAATGCCATCTCCAGCTATGACCCTTGCCACATCTATTATTTTCTATTGGCTTTTTTTTTTTTTACCAGAAAGCTGTCTCCAATTCTGTACACTGGATCGCATACATACCACCCTATTTTATCTAGCACCTTTTCATTCTTCCTACTCCACCTCCATCCTCCTTATCTTAGATTCTTTCCTTGTACATTTAGGTGTATTTAAATTTCTTCCCTTTTATTCCAATTCCCTATATCCATTACTTATGCCTCATCCCATCTGCACCTGGTCCAATGTATTTGATCTTTGAATCTGCATGGTAGTCTCTTAAAGCCTGAAGTATTGGTTTATGAATATGTACTTTTAGTATATGTAAATTATTTTGTGCTATGTGTCTTAATTCTGTTCCTTTTTTTCACTTGTTATCTCTTGTGTTTTTGATGAAAGCCATTCTAACAAGTGTGAGGTGATATCATTATGGTTTTGATTTCCCTGGTGATCAGTGGTATTGGGCACCTTTTCATGAACCTGTTGTTCATCTGTATGTTTTCTTGGAAAACTTCCTATTCAGTTCTTCTGGCCTTTGTTTAAATTGAGTTGGGTTGGGGAGGCAGTGTTTTTTGGTTTACTTTGCTATTGTATTATGTGAGTTCTTTATATATTTTGGATATTAACCTTTTATCAGATGTATGATTTGCAAATATTTTTTCCTATTCCATAGGTTGCCCTTCATTTTGTTGATTGTTTCTTTTACTGTACATTTTAAACATTTTCTTTATGATTAGCACAACTATTGTCTTCCTTGAATCTTACTCTATTCTGTGCTCTGTTTGTTGAGATGATACATTTTCATTCTGTGATCAGTTATCACTGTTCCATGAAATGGCCCTTAAGTACTTCAGCATATATGGCTATTTCCTTTTTCTCTTCCTCTATCTCACAGGAACTTAGAGAAAAAGCACCAGATTTTAGACTATGTGGTAACTGAGGCTTTTGCCTCTGTTTTTAGAAAGTTCCCAGAATTAAGACCTTGTTTCTATTGTATAATTCAGGGTCTGATCAAGAGAGAGAAACCACATACTAATTTGAACAGGAAAGTTTAACATAAAGAATTATTAGCTATAATGAGATTGGCCTAACAAGGGGCAACTAGTAAAAGTAAAGAACTCTAAAGAGTAAAGGAATAGCAGGAATAAGGAACAGCCAGTATCTCTACCATTGTAACGCAGCACCCAAGCAAATGCCTCCTCTGCTTATAAGGGATGAGATCCAGACTTTGTTAGGAGGGCACAGTTGTGGTTCACAGCATGGCAGAAGAGTTTCTGTGGTGCTATGCTGGCAGAACTTGCTGGAAATCTGTCCTCTGGGATTCCAGAAAGCTGATCGTGGGGAAGTGTCTTGCTGGAGGTATTTCACTACCAATCATCTGAGAGTGGTGCTAAGGTGCCAAGTGGGTGCTGCTGGCTAAAATGTACTGTAGGAGCTGGGTGCTGGAGAAGTCACCCATTACAGACAGCAGCTGAGCTCTAGAGAAGCCACTCACACTGCAAGACCTGGTGCTGGGGGAGCTGCATGTGCAACACGAGCCAGATATTAGCAAAGACACCCACACTGCCCTTGCTGGAAGAGTGTGCTAAGTGAGCCTACTAGAACTAGGAAGCAAAACTCCTTCCTCCTGTGATGTCTATCCATTATCCTCTACTGACCAAGCTTATCATTGCCAGCTGGAAAGGAAAAACATACTTAAAGAGACTCAGGTCCATTTTTGTAGAAATGTAGAAAAATGTAGCATGAATTTGGTTGAGAGGCAATAAATTAATAACTGGCACACTTATTCTTCAGGTTCCCAAAGTGAAGCATGGAACTTAAATTTATTGAATTTGGGGAGATAGAGGAGGATATTTTACTCTCTTTCAGAAGGATTGTTCAAGTGTCTACTAAGGAATTCAAAGAACCATAGAATATATTTGGAAAGGGAAGACAGCTGCATGATATGTTAATAATTTCAGTCTTTGTGTATTAATACTTTCTATTATAACACAAAACTGTGCCAAATTGAGTATCAATGTATGTGGTACCATATTTCTTTGTATATTCATAGCAGATATAACCTCCCTAGAGGTGTACTGAAATTAGAGGTAATATTGAGGACAATCCATTTTGAATATTCACAGAGGAGTAAAACAACAAGCTTAATATAAATGTATATCCTCTCATATAAGAATTCTGAAATGAATGGGTTCATTCAACAAGTCAACCTTAATCCTGACGCATCACTCATGGACCATGTACCAAATCATTGTTCTGCCATCTCCTAGGGCATTGTTGTCATTGCATGGTTTATCTTGGGTCATTATAGCATCCAGCGGGGAGGGAAAGGAGGAATACAGAAGATTTGCCTACTGTCTTAAGGCCTGACCTGGAAGTGATACATATCAACCACTTCTGCTCATACTCCACCAGTGAGAACAAAGTGAAGCAGGTCAATGTAATGCCCAGCTACATTCTGTTACTATAAAAGGAGAGGTAAATCAATTTTGGTGGATGGCTTGCATTTTCTGCCATAGATGGCTTTCCTTTTCTTATTTTATGCTTTTTAAAAGCATATATTCCTAGGACCAAGAAAAACTTGCAGCTGGCTATAGAATTGGAGCACAGATACCTATTTACTGTTTGTTTATGTCAAGATGGCTGGTGGTATAAGAGTTTTTCCTATAGATATAAAATAATTGATGTTTGATGTACATAAGTTTAATGTTGATGTTCATAATTGTTCAGAGAGAAAAGCAAGAAAAAGCAGAGAGATTAGTAAGGTTTTAGAGCTAATATGTAATAAGGACATATGAGGTCTGTCTGGAAAAAGTCCAGCCATTGTTAATATAATAAGAATGGTTTGTGTGACATTGATGTGACCTGTAAGCCAAGGAGAGTAGACTGGAATAAACATGTGTGAACAATGACAACTTTACTATAGTCAGTGGGGGTGGTAGACACCATCGAGTGAGCATGTGTACTGTGTGGCTGTAGCATTCAAAATGACTCTGTGAGTAGAGCAATGAATCTGCATCAGATTTTGTGTTAAGCTTGAACATTCCTCTGCAGAAACTATTCAGATGACTCAGAAGGCCACAGCTATGGGCAGCTGGTGACTGGCAGCTTCATGCCCACTCATGCATCACATGCCCACTCATGCATCACATCTCGTACAGAGTTTTTTGGTGAAACATCAAATCACCCAGGTGACTCAGTCTCCCTACAGCCCATATTTGGTGTCCTGTGAATTCTGGCTTTTCCCAAAACTAAAATCACTTTTGAAAGGGAACAGATTTCAGACCATTGGTGAGATTCAGGAAAATATGACAGGGCAGCTGATGGCAATTGGGAGAACTATGTCAGGTCCCAAGGTGCCTACTTTGAAGGGGACTTAAGTGTCATTGTCCTATGTACAATGTTTCTTGTATATTGTATCTTCTTCAATAAATGTCTCTATTTTTCATATTACATGGCTGGATACCTTCTGGACAGGCCTTGTATAATCTGAAATATTTCTTGCATGCCAGGCTTCCCTTTAACAGACTTTAGTTTCTTCTTCTGGTTACTCTACTCACTATCCAGACCTTCTACTAGTGGATATGGACTCCCATGGTTCAAGTCCCATCTTTCTCACTTATTTAGCTATTTGATATTCAGCAAGTTACATAACTTCTCTATGCTTCTGTTTTCTCATCTGTGAAACATGATTGATAATGATAGCTATCTCTTAGAGTTTAGTGAGGATTAAATGAGCTGTTATATGTAAAGCACTTGGAACAGTGCCCACCGCATCCAAATGTTATATAATTGTTTTATATATAATGAGTGTTCTAGAAGAATTTTATGTTACTACATTATCACTATTTTCATTATTGTCATATAGACTCTGTGGTCATCCTATCTGAACTACATGTACCCTCTATCCTCTGCTAATTGTTCTTTGAGTTATTTTCATTTTATATTTTTATTTTTAGATGAAGATATTGGGCAAACCCAACAACAGAGAATTGCTGGAGAAGTTTTATTCCACTGTGAGAAATTTGGTCAATCCACAGAAGATTCACTGTGTTCCATTTTAGAAGAATTGTGGCAAGATAATGACCAGCTAGAGAGGTATCAAGAAAACCAAAATAACCCTGTAAGTCATGTGAAAGTACTCATTAAAGAGAGGGGCTATGAATGTAAAAACATTGAAAAAGTAATTCATGTGAGTACCAAGCTTGTTCCTTCAATTAAAAGACTCCATAACTGTGACACATTTGGAAAGGGTTTGAAGCACACTTTAAACTTACATAATCATAATAAAAGCAATGCAACAATGAACCTTGATAAGATTTTTGGAAATGACAACAATTTTTCCCATAGCTCCTCCTGTACTAAGAATGAGAATGCTAATACAAGAGCAAATGCTTGTGAATATAATCAATATGGAAAATATCTTGGACACAAACAAGTTCTCATCCACCATCAGAAAAATCACACTGGGGGGAAACTTTATGTATGTACTGAGTATGTGAAGAGCTTCACCCAGAAGTCAGATCTCTTTGAGCATCAGAAAATTCATGCTGGAGAAAAAGCCCTTGAATGCAACAAAAGTGATAAAGTCTTCACTCAGAAGCCCCAAACTGATGTAGCTCAGGGTGTTTATACAAGAGAAAAATCCTATATATGTACTCATTGTGGGAAGGCCTTTGCTCTCAAATCAAACCTCATTACACATCAGAAAATTCATACTGGGCAGAAACCCTTCAAATGCAGTGAATGTGGAAAAACCTTTTTCCACAGATCGTATCTCTTTAGACATATGAGAATTCATACAGGAGAAAAACCTTATGAATGCCATGAATGTGGAAGAGGCTTCTCCCAAAATTCAGACCTCAATATTCATCAGAAAACTCATACTGGAGAAAAACTCTATGCATGCAGTGAGTGTGGGAAAGCCTTCACAAGAAAATCAGCACTCAGGATGCATCAAAGAATTCACACAGGAGAGAAACCCTATGTGTGCACTGAATGTGGGAAGGCCTTCATCCAGAAATCACATTTTAATACACATCAGAGAATTCATACTGGAGAGAAGCCTTATGAATGCAGTGACTGTGGGAAGTCATTCACCAAGAAATCACAACTCCATGTGCATCAAAGAATTCACACAGGAGAAAAGCCCTATATATGTACAGAATGTGGGAAGGTCTTTACTCATAGGACAAACCTCACTACACATCAAAAAACTCATACTGGAGAGAAACCCCATATGTGTGCTGAATGTGGGAAGGCTTTCAGTGATCAGTCAAATCTCATTAAACACCAGAAAACTCATACTGGAGAGAAACCCTATAAATGCAATGGTTGCGGGAAAGCCTTCATATGGAAGTCACGCCTCAAAATACATCAGAAATCTCATATTGGAGAAAGACACTATGAATGCAATGAATGTGGGAAAGCCTTTATCCAGAAATCAACACTAAGTGTGCATCAAAGAATCCATACAGGAGAGAAACCCTATGTTTGTCCTGACTGTGGGAAGGCCTTCATCCAGAAATCACACTTCATTGCACATCATAGAATTCATACTGGAGAGAAACCTTATGAATGCAGTGACTGTGGAAAATGCTTCACTAAGAAATCCCAACTCCGCGTGCATCAGAAAATTCACACAGGAGAGAAGCCCAATATATGTACTGAATGTGGGAAAGCCTTCACTGACAGGTCAAATCTCATAACACACCAGAAAATCCATACTAGAGAGAAACCCTATAAATGCACTGACTGTGGAAAAACCTTCACTTGGAAATCACGCCTTACCATTCATCAGAAATCTCATACTGGAGAGAGACACTATGAATGCAGTAAATGTGGGAAAGCTTTCATCCAGAAAGCAACACTAAGTATGCATCAGATAATTCACACAGGAAAGAAACCCTATGCGTGTACAGAATGTCAGAAGGCCTTCACTGACAGATCAAATCTCATTAAACACCAGAAAACTCATAGTGGAGAAAAACTTTATAAAGGCAGTGACTGAAAAAAGCCTTCAGCTGGAAATTATCATTGGGTATGCATCAGACGGCCCATAGTGGAGAAGAGGCACGCCTGATGCCGCAATCATTGCGTAGGGGAAAACAGATGCAACAGACTACAGGTGAAGTGAATAGAATGCAAACAAAGCCAAGTATCCCCCAAAACCAAGCAACTGCATCACCACCGTTGATATACAATTATATGGGTAGGGAGACTCTTCGAAAAAACCTTTGGACAATGGTCTTGTTTGGTTTCATGACTCATGCAGGGGCTTTCAAGTTCCTGCAAGTGGTAGAAAGAGAGACCCCAGAAGATGATCTGTAATCTCTTATGTTTCACTTTTTGGATAAAGGGCTTTATAAATTTAGAACTGATTAGTTCTTCATACCCTGGAATGTAAAAGTACTCAATATTGGATGAAATTTTTCAAATTTCTAGTGTGGGGAAAAATGTTTTCATTGTCTAAATACCTGCAGGGCAAAAAAGTCAAGGCAAAAACCTACTTGGGAATGCAGATCTGTGAATACAAGCCAGTTTTTGTGATCTTTGACATTTAAGACACAAAAAAGATTGCCATGAGGAACCGTTCTTTCTCTTCCCTTTGAGAAGAAACCATGGTATGTTTTTAAAAAAGGAAATTTTAAAACTTAAAATTAAGCCTGACTTTATGCATCGGCAAACTAGGCAAAGCTCTAGCTTATGTTACAAGAATACAGTTATTAAATGTTGCACACATCTAAAGGTGGCAATTGTTCCCTCATTAATTCCATGCTGTGGTAGCAGGTGATGATTCACACTTGAAAAAACAACACATGCCTTCTAACCTATACCACCAAAGCTATCATTTATGTAAGTTGCAGACCACAGACTTCTTATCTCTTTAGTGACTGACTTTGACCCATGAAACTCTGGACTTCCAGTCTCATCCACTGAAGCCTTTGCTTTCTTTGGGATTCTTGTTTGAAAAAGAATGACTAAGAAATTGGGTTTTAATACATAAAGTTTTGACTGTTTTTCTTCCAATCTGACTAAGATATATTCATTTTATATATGTATATTAAGACTAGTTTTGTGTAGGTTGCCATGGGATAAAGTCATTTTGCATTGTTGTTGGATAGTTTAAGATATGATTAAAGCTTATTATAGTTGAATAACTGGAAGGTTTATAGAAAGACCATTGCTTTTTTTAAAGCACTGATATATAGACACTTTCTCATTTTTTCTCAAATATTTTTTTACTATACTCATGATAAAGGGGGTTTTATTTCTAGCATATAATTTAATTTTGTTTTATTTAAGTATAATTCATACAGAAAATGCATACATGATAAGCATACAGCTGAATGAATTCTCACAAATTGAAAATACTCAAATCAAGAAAAAGAACATGATCAACACTTCAGAAGCAATCCCTGTGCTCCCTTCCAGGCCTACCACCGCCTCCACAAGAGTTACCACTGTCCTGACTTTTAACAGCATAAATTGGTTTTGTCTGTTTGGTATTTTATATACATTAAGTCATACAATTATATTTCATATTTCAGTGTTTATTTCATTCACATTATGAATGTGAGAGTCATCTATATTGTTTATTTGTAGATAATTCACTATCATGTTATATTCCATTGTGCAAATATGCTGTAATATATTTTTCTGTCCTACTGTTGATGGACATTTGGGTTGTTTGCAGCTTGGGGTTATTAGGAATAGTACTGCTATAAATATTTTAGTACCTATCTACTGATGAACATATTTATGAATTTCTGTTAGGTATATATCTAGAAGTTAAAATGCCAGGTCATAGGCTACCTATATAGTTTGCTTTAGTCTACAAAACTAGTTTTCCAAAGTGGCTGTACCAACAGCACAGTATACAAATTCTAGTTGCTCCACATCTTGTCAACACTTGGTATTCTCCATCTTTTTTACTTTAGCCATTATGGTGAGTATACAGTGATTTAATATTTACTTCCTTGTCCTCCAATCCCACTATAGTATCTCCCCAAGACAGGTGACTGATATCTGAGATCTGAGACCCAGGCATGGTCCTCACATGGCTGCACCATCTTACATTCCACCCTCAACAGAAGCAATTAGTAAGTTTAATTCTTTTTAAAAAAAATTTATTGTATTTTTTCCATTACCATTTAACCTTATACCCCTCTCAGTTTAATTCTTCTCACACACACAAAAGACCAAAGCCAGATAGTTAAATTGGTTAATTGCATCAAACATTTGTGAGATAAATCATATCAACACTCCACAAAATCTTTCAGAAAACAGAGGAGAAGGGAACACTCCCCAATTCTATGAGGGCAGTATTACCCTAATATTTAAGCCATACAAACATATCACAAGAAAACTAAAGACCATTATTCCTAATGACTATAGATATAAAAATCTTCAACAAAATACTAGCAAACTGAATCCAGAAATATGTAAACATATGCATCATGACCAACTGGGGCTTATTCTAGTGATGCAAAGCTCCTTCAGAATTCAAAGTCATGCAATATAACCTATCATATTAGCAAGCTAACAAAGAAGAACCAGCCCTGGCTGGTGTGGCTCAGTGGATTGACTGACAGGCTACAAACCTAAGAGCTACTGGTTTGATTCCCAGTCAGGGCACAAGCCTGGGTTGCAGGCCAGGTCCCCAGTGCGTGGTGGCGGGGTACTCGAGAGACAACCACACATTGATATTTCTTTCCTTCTCTTTCGCCCTCCCTTCCCCTCTCTCTAAAAATAAATAAATAAAATCTTTTAAAAAGAAGAAGAATCCCATGATCTACAGGTTCAGTACAACTTTATCCAATTTCCAACAAAGCTTTCTTCCCTAGAAATTTATATGCTAAAGAAATCCTAAATTTGTATAGACAGAAAGGACCAAGAATAGCAAAAAGACATTTGCTAAAGAAGGACAAAGTGGGAGGAAATTGACCTCCTAGTTTCAAAAGTAAAAAAGTACTGTAATCAAGACAGTATGGTACTGGCATAGGGACAAAGACATATATTAATGGAACAGAATAGAGTCCAGGAACAAACCCTCATACTTATGGTAGAAATATTCTTTACAAAAGTGTGAAGGTAATTCAATGGAGAAAGAAAAGTCTTTTTAATATTTAGTGAAGGAATAATTAGATATTCACACACAAAAAAGATGAATTTAAATCTTGTTTAACACCGTGCTAAAAATTAACTCAAAATGGATCAGAGATGTAAATATAAAAGCTAAAATTATAAAAGTTTTAGCAAAAACTATAGGAGAAAATCTCTGTCTTCATATTAAGCAAGTAATTCTCAGAGAGGACACCATGAAGAAAAAAGAAATGATGAACTGGACTTCATCAGAACAAAAAAGGTTTGTACTTCAAAAGACACTATTATAAAGGGAAAAGACAAAACAGACTAGGAGAAAATATTTGTAAATCATGTATCTGACAAAGGACTTGTATCCATAAAATATAAAGAATTCTTACAACTCAATAAAAAGAAGAAAAACAACCCAGTTTAAGAATGGGCCAAAGCTCCCTGACCGGTTTGGCTTTGTGGGGCATCATCCCACAAGGCGAAAGATCGCCAGTTCGATTTCCAGTTGTGGCACATGCATGGGTTGTGAGCCAGGTCCCTGGTTGGGTCATGTGTGAGAGGCCACTGATCGGTGTTTCTCTCACACATTGATGTTTCTCTCCCTCTCTTTCTCCTTCCTTTTCCCTCTCTTTAAAAATAAAGAAATACTTTTTTAAATGGGCAAAGGATTTGAAGAGACATTTCTCCAAAGAAAATATACAAATAAGTACAGGAAAAGATGCCCAACATTAGTTGTTAAGAAAAAATTTAATGAAAACCACAATGAATTACCACTTTTTTGTCCAAAACATACACTAAAATAGTTACAATAAAAAAAAAAAAACAATCATAACAAATGTTGGTAAGGATATGAAGAACCAGGAGCTTTTATACATTTCTGGTGTGAATGCATTAAAATGGTATAGCCACTTTGGAAAAGTTTGGCAGTTTCTAAAAAGATCATCATAAATTTACCATAGGACCCAACAATGCCATTCCTATTATCTACCCTAAAGATATGTAACATGTGACGACACAAGAACTTGCTCTTGAATATTCATAAAGCATTATTCATATGAGGCAAAAAGTAGAGACAATCCCAATAGCCATCAACTGGAGGATAAACAAAATGCCATATATTTGGCAATAAAAAGGAACAAATACTAACACAACCATACCTAGTTTTATTGTGCTTCACAGGTATTGCTTTTTTTTTTTTTACAAACTGAACGCAAGACCCTCCACCAGCAGAGAGATTATGGCTCACTTTCTTGTGATACTCACTTTATCACAGTGATCTAGAACCGAACCTTCAGTATCTCCAAGGTATGCCTGTATACTGCAACATGGGTGAACCTCAGAAGTATTATAATAAGTGAAAGCAAGACACAAAAGATCTAATATTGTGTTTGTATACTGTATTTATATGAAATGTCCAGAAAAGTCAAATCTATAAAGATCTATAGATTAGTGGTTGTCTGGAGGTAAGAATGAGAACAGTCATTAACTGTAAATTAGTACAAGGGGTGTTACTGGGGTGATATAAATGTTTTAGAATTTGATTGTAGTGATGGTTGGGTAAATTTAATAAAGGCTACTGAGGCAATCCTTAAATCCATTTCTGTTTAAACATCTGGACTCTCTGCCATAACATCTGTTGCCACCTATAGCTAGAATAAAGTGTTCTCTTGGAGCCTGTTATGCACTTAAGAATAAACTTTCGGATGTTACTGCCAGGCACCTGGTGTCACATTGGCTGAGCCTTTGGCAGGCTTTCTTGGGACAAAAATGGCTATGGCCAGTGATTTCTACCTGCACCACAATTTAGGGCACAAGGGCAAGTTTGGACATGAGTTTCTGGAATTTGAATTTTGGCTGGACATAAAGTTTAGATATGCCAGCAACAGCAATTATAAAATGATGTCCTGATCAGAAAAGAGGCCTATGTGCAGAAGACTGAAGAGAATTACTGATGACAGTGAAATTATAAAAGAAGATGATGCTTTGTGGCCTCCCATGACAGGG